AGCCACCGCGCCTGGCCCTATTATTTTTAATAATACAATAGTCACCTTCTTTCTTCCTGCTTTTTTTCTTCCTTTCTCCTTCAGTCTTCCTTCCTCTTCCTCCTATCTTCCTCCTCTTTCTAACTGTGTTCTTCCATCTCTTTATCTTCTTCTTCTTTTTTTTTTTTTGGAGATGGAGTTTTGCTCTGTTGTCCAGGCTGCAGTGCAGTGGCGCAATCTTGGCTCACTGCAACCTCTGCCTCCCAGGTTCAAGCAATTCTCCTGCCTCAGCTACTCGAGTAGCTGGAATTACAGGTGCTTGCCACCACACCTGGCTAATTTTTGTGTTTTTGGTAAAGATGGAGTTTCACCATATTGGCCAGGCTGGCCTCGAACTCCTGACCTCAAGTGACCTGCCCACCTCAGCCTCCCAAAGTGGGATTACAGGTGTGAGCCACCGCTCCTGGCCTCACTATCTTCGTCCTCATCAAGAGGTGATGAGACTATGAGCTAAGGCAGTAGCAGTGGGGCTAGAGAAGAAAGGATTGCCAGAAATGTTAAGGGAAAAGACTAGTCAAAAATTATCCAGACTTCTCGCTGTGTGACTAAGTGGGTGGTGGTGCCTTTCAATAACAGAGGCAATACAGAAGGAGGACCAGGTTTTGAGGGAAAGAGGATGAATTTAGTTTTCAGTATGTTGCATCTTGAGGTACTTTAGGACATCTAGGAAGAGGTATCCAGTAGGCATTAAATATAAGGGACCAGGTCGTAGGAGAAAGTAGAAGCACACAATAAATTGAGGAGTTGCTATCATATGAAGTCATTGCTGGAGCAGTGTTAGTAGAAAATCACCAAGAGACAGTATGTAAAACAGGTTTATTTTTAAGATTATATATGCAAGTATAATGTGCATATTTTGTAAGGATATAACTTATAGGTCAGTGAATTTTCACAAACTGAATATACCCCTGTAACTAGTACCCTTTCAAGAGAGAACATTACCAGCACTCCAGATGCCCCCTTGTATAAAGCAGATGTTCCTAACTGGGTATCCCCGGGCTGCTTCAGTGGTTTTCTGGATTTCCCTGAAATTGTTGGCAAGACTTATATATGTATAGTTTTTTTTTGTTTTTTTTGTTTTTGTTTTTTTCTTTCCTGGTGGAAGAGTCTTTAGCTTTCATCAGGCTTTTGTAGTTTTTTGTTTGTTTGTTTGTTTGTTTGTTTGTTTAGAGACAGGTTTTTGCTCTGTTGCCCAGGCTAGAGTGCAGTGGTGCAATCATATTAATAGCTCGCTATAACCTCAGACTCCTGGGTTCATGCACTCCTCCCATCTCAGTCTCCCAAATAGCTAAGACTACAGGTGTGCACCACCAGATCCTTTTTCTTTTTTTTTGGTAGAGATGGAGTCTTGCTATGTTGCCTAGGCTGGTCTTGAACTCCTGGCCTCAAGCAGTCCTCCTGCCTCAGCCTCCCAGAGTGCTGGAATTACAGGCATGAGACACTGTGCCCGGCCTCATCATAATCTTTTTAAAAGGGTGTTCACATCCCAATAAGGATGAAACCCGCTGGTGGAGTGAGAAGAGAACTTAGAGCAAAACCTTAAGGGGACTATTTGAAATAAATTACTGAACTCTTGAACACTGTGTACTATTCTGTGCCTTGCTGGGTTTTTTCTCTAATATACTCTATCTTAGGGAATGTTTGTAAGATTAATTTAGCTTTTAGTTACATAAAGAAATAGAGAAAGGCTATTTATTAACTGGTCTTTGAAACTTACACTACTAGCAGTTACCAACCATTGGTCCTAATGTTAAAACTGCTTTATAGGAGGTGTTATGAGTTTTTTAACTAACCTCTTTTAGATGAGCAAATCTTAAAATTTTTGTTTATTTTTAATTTAATTATTTTGTTTATTTTTGTGTAAGCCATGAATTATTGTATATAGTATGTTTCTAATGTGCTATTTTTAAATATCCAGATTTTGTCACCAGAAATTTATCACAGACTTGTTCCTTTTTTAAATTTCTAATTTATATTTTCTAAACTTTTTTAATAGATGAAGGTTATTCTTTCAGCAGTGTCCTGTATTATGGAAATGAAGCTACCCTTCTTGTTTTTGATCTGCTGTTCTTCTGTGTTGTGGATTTGGCTTGCCAAAATTTTATTTTAGCATCCTTCCTTACATATCTACAACAAGAGGTAAATTTTAAAAATTTTTCTACATTTCCCTTCATTTTCTTGAGAGAAATATGTTAGAAGTAGATATTTTCATAGCAGAGAGTAACAATGTCTACTTTTACTACAATTTTGTAAAGGTTTAGAATATGACTAACCCCACCAAAAGGAGGAATAACATTTCAACCAACTGTACTCTGTCCTTTAGGGTCAATGAAATACTGAGGTCTAGTGGAGGGCATCAGTTGCTTGATTATACATGGAAGAGGAATCCTATAGGAAGACATTTAACTACTAGTCTCCTAGATGGTACAAGTGAACAGTAATTAGAGTCCCATCCACCCTCTCCACCAGATGTTAAGTAACAAAAAAACAGGCACTGGAGAGCTAGCTCAGGGCTCAGCACCAAAGGGAAGCCCCCTTTAGCCTGCAGCTTTGACACCTCGTCTGCCAGTGTAGATGAAAAGCAACTTTGTGTATGAGTGTGGTCCCTGAAATAGAGATTTCAAGAAATGGCAAATCTGTTCTTGAAATGGTGTTATTATCAGCTAAATATTCTCCACTATGTCAAAGAAGTATATATGAGTATGATGCAATTTATTAGTCCTTGACAGTGATCTAGAATTGTGCAGAAATTATCTCCCTAGCGAGTAGATTCTTTTGATGTTTCCTTAGTTTTAGACTTAGAAGAAAGTTGCCTTTCTAAATATTTTAAAATGTATCCCTGTGAACATGAGAGAATTTGTATTATTAATTCATAAGAATTTACTCTAAATGGGAACATACATTGCTTTGAAACTATGAACAAAATTATCATCTTGAAATAATTTTGTGTATCACCATGGGATTCAGATGCCTGATACATGAAAATAGTTGAGAGAATTAGCTAATTTAATCTAGATGTTTTAACTGATGTGCATATTTAATTTTGTTTATATTTCTTTTCATTCTGAATTATTTTAATTTTCCAGATTTTTAGATATATCCGTAATACAGTAGGACAAAAGAATTTGGTGTCCAAAACATTGGTGGATCAAAGATTTTTGATTTAACTTCCTGAATAAATAACTTAAAGACTCAGTATAATCATGGCCAAAAAAATGTCATGATATCAGGTTAGTTTGCCATATTTTAAAAACTTTTAATGCAAACTATTCTGTTTTTGTTTTTTATTTGCAGAAAGATTTATTTTTATAATTTGGAATATATAATGTGATAAAACAGAAAATATTGTTTTCCCATTGTGTGTGGTATTTAATGCAGTAAATAATAAATTAACACTGACAGTGAGGCCAAAAAAAAATCTAAATGTTGCTTTCAGCATAATACTTTTTAATGATAATTAAAACAGTCCCCATCAATTTTCTCTGTGGATTATTTTATAAACTGACAGCTGCCTGAATTTTCTCACATTGACAAAGTAATTCGATTCCAAGTTTAAGACTAGTTTTCAGTTTGATATTTTCATGTTTTGTGTGCTTGTGGTTAAATAAATGTTGAAAGATATTTTCAAGTTTACTTAGAAATTTTAAATTGTATTATTGCTGACTCAATTTGCCTTATTCTAATTGCTTACCTTAGTTGGCAGTGGATTAATTCACTGTTGGATTGATATGCATCTCATGAAATGATGTCTTTTCATTCCTTTGTATACCTGTATTAAGTCAGTATGCTCTTTCCATGCAATATATTTGCATTTCTAATATAGTTTACATTTATTAAGTTATCATATGTGACATTTTTCCCAATATCATTTTTTATATATTTTAATTACTTAATATTTTAAGAGTTATCTTCCAAAGTTTTGCTTTTCAATTATGTTTAAAGATTATAAATAGCAAACAGTAAGGCTGGGTGCTGTGGCTCACGCCTGTGATCCCAACACTTTGGAAGGCCAAGGCGGGTGGATCACTTCAAGTCAGGAGTTCAAGACCAGCCTGGCCAACATGGCAAAACCCCATATCTACAAAAAATACAAAAATTAGTTGGATGTGGTGGCCTGTAATCCCAGCTACTTGGGAGGCTGAGGAACAAGAATTGCTTGAAACCAGGAGGTGGAGGCTGCAGTGAGCCAGATAGCACCACTGCACTACAGCCTGAACGACAGAGCAAGACCCTGTCTCAGAAAAAAACAAAAACAAAAAACTGTAAATGTATCATGTTTCTCACTGCTTTCTATGTTAATGCTGTGTAAATACTTAAAATGGAATACTGTATAAATATTGTTTATATTTTCTCAGTTGAAAATATATACTAAAACATTTGGTGTTTCTGTTTTCTATTTCATTAATGTATATCTCACGGAGTAGCATTTAGGAATATAGCATTATTGGGGCAGAAGTCCCAGCCATTGCCAAAGTTGAATCTTTTACATTTCCCTGAATCTTGAGGATGACTGAAAAGGAAGTCTTTGAAAGTGCAGTTTCTGAAGGATCACAGTACAGGAATGCCTTTATAAAAGCTGCAGAGATAAATATATGTACCGGCATGGATTTTTAAAACCACTCAGTCAGAAACGTATGAAAGAAATTCAACCATCATTCAACATAGAAGAAGTTAATTTTAGTGCAAATGTTTTTAAGTATTAAATTTCACAATAAAGGATCAATTGGCTTACTTGCTGATAAATTAAAACAGAGAAAACATTTAAAATCATTCTAAATTAATTTTGTATGATATTTTTATTTTGGTTAGATGCATAAAAATGTGTTCAGATTTTCATACACTGTCGACTCCTTTGTTCACATTGTCACAATTTACATTTCCTGATCATGTGCATAATTATTCACTAGATTCATTACCCTTTGTCTATTTCTGTAGTACCCAATCACTGTACTTTGAATCTTATATCCCTGATTTTACTGATTTTCTAGAAACATTTGATGTCTCTTCATCATTTCATAATGAAACAAAACCTAGAGAGGTTCTTTATAAGCTGTTGTGTACTTTGTGTGCTCCTTAGAAATGTACAGGGCCCTAAAATACTTCTGTAGACCAGTGTCTCTGTTATGGGAGATTTGTAAATGCTTGCTTCTCTGGCATTGCTGTCCTAACTGCCTTTTCAGAAGGCTTTGCTGATTACCTACATTGAGGAACATTCAAAATGATCATTAACTCAGCGCTTGCAAGCGTGAAGCATGTATCTTTTTTGTAAATAGTGACAAATAAAAGCTGAGGGGAAACAAATGTAAGTCAATGAGCAGTGAGCAGTGCGGCTTAATGGAAAATCCTCCAAATTTAGCAACAGAACCTGGATTCAAATTAGAATTTTGCCCGTCACTTACAAACTTTGGTATCTTGAACAAAGTAATTTGCCATCATTGAGCTTCATTCTACATCTCTACAATGAAAATAATATTTTTTGCTTACCACTTATTGTAAGGCTTAGTTTCATGTGTGTGTGTGAGAGAGAGAGAGAGAGAGAGAGAGAGAGATGGGGTCTCCCTCTTGTCACCCAGGTTGGAATGCAGTGGCACGATTTTAGCCCACTGTAACCTCCACCTCCTAGGCTCAAGCAGTCCTCCACCTCAGCCTCCCAAGTAGCTGGAACAACAGGTGTGCGCCACCACACCCAGCTAATTTTTTGTGGATTTTTTGTAGAGACAAGGGTTCACCATGCTGCCCAGGCTGGTCTTGAACTCCTGATCAAGAGATTCACCCACCTCGGCCTCCAAAAGTGCTGGGATTACAGGTGTGAGCCACTACACCTGGCCAGGATTAGTTTCTTAAAATGTGATTTTAATGTTGAGTAAATACGAATGCTGGAATTTTTATTTTTAGTTTAAAATATCTGCTCCAAAGTATATTTTTACATTGCTAATAAATTAATAATATGATATTAAAACTCAGATTACTGATCTCAATAACTGACCAATGAAAATTCTGAGCCCGCCTTCTTCCTCAGCCACCCCCAGCTCCACCAGGAAGAGGCCCAGATAGAAGTCAGCGATACACGTAAAACATAAAAGGAGAAAACACCCCTGTGGGAGACACAGTTCATGACAGAGGATGGAGAGAACAGGAAGAGTGTAGTATTGTCTCTGGGAGGGAGAGTTTTTTTCATTTGCTCATTTCATTCCAACAATGTTTCTACCTCTTCCCACTCCCAGCACCTCAGAAGGGTCTTATAATTAGTAGGAGAAACAGGTAAAATAACCAATAATGACAGCAATATGAAACGTGCTGCAGTTCCGTGGTGTGATGTAAGGAAAGCTCTTAACTGTACTTCTGGGTCATCAGGGCTTTGACCTCAGAGAAGCGGATTTGATCTAAGATTTTAAGATAAGCAAACAAACAAACAAACAAACAAAAATGCAACCAAAGCATGGAACAGTATGTGCTCAGAGACAAAGCAGCACATGGCAGTTTGGGGCACTACGGGCAGTTTGAATACAGAGTACATGTACTACTTATATTTTTAAAATTGTATAAGATGTTTTGTCATTTTAAGAAACTTCCCTTCTGGGGAGTGATTGCCCCTCCTGGGGGTCCCCAATTCTTCTAGACAGCAAAGGACTCAGGTGGGAGCATACCTTTGATTTACAAACTATAGCCCTGAGCCACACCTCCTCTGTGGCCCTGAAATCCCAGGAGGCAATGTTCCTCTTCCTTAAATCATCCCAGGGCCAGGTAACAGGCAACTAGGGACTACCTCTGTAGTTTACAGCACACTGAAATTATTCCAATGAGCCGATCCCAAACTGTTGACCCCGCCCTGCCTTACCATTTCCTCGGAAACTCCAGTAAGCGCCCAGGCTCTCCCCTGGCTCCTGGTGCTCCCGCCTCCTGACTGGCGCTTTCCCCTGTGGCTGTGCATGGTGTGCCGCGCCATCTGTTTCTAGGACCTGTGAGTGTAAGAAACTTTTTCCTATCTCCTCTTGTCATTCCTCACTCATCACTACATAAAAGAACACAGAACAGTATGTTTGGAGGCTTTGGAGGGCGATGAGGTTGGAAAGGAAAACAGGAGTCACATCATTAAAGGTTTTTATGTTGGGCCACATCTCCATCACTTGCATGGAATGTTTAACCAAGTTGGAGATAAGTGCTCTTCCTCTCTGTTGCCTGGCTGCATGTTGTGGTTTGCAAGAAAATACATTGCCCCACTGCCCATAAGAGACGCACCAAGGGTAGTAGTTGAGAGCACAGACCCTGGAGCCAGACTGGCCTGTGTTCAAGTCCTGGCTGCATCACTTACTGGCCGGGCAATTTGAGCAAGTCATGATTAAATTTTCTCATCTGTAAAAGAGATAAATAGCACCTACCTCAAAGACGTATTGGGAAGATTAAATGAGTTATTGTGTACAGTGCTTAGAAAAGTGCCTGGCACGTAGTAAATGCTATGTGAATATAAGCTATGTAGTAGTAATAGTAGTAGTAGTGCCCATTAATATTTAGTGCAGAAAGACAGACCCAGATTAGACCCACTAGAGACTACATTAAGACACTGTCTCCTTACTGAGTGTGCTAGAAGTAGCGGTAGACAAACTGCCTGCCACACAGTTGTCTGTGGGTTTTAAAAAATAACTGCTTCTGTTATTTTTATAATAATTATTGCTTCCATTGTAGTTATTATCATTACAAGGAATACATGGCTGTGGCCCAAGGATAAATAAATAATCACAGATGATCAGTAGAATGAGGTCCAGGAAGAAGTCCACAGGTGTGTGGATATGTATATACACACATGACAAGGGTAGCATGCAGTGCAGCAAGGGAAAGGTGTTTATAGATGTGCCATTGAATATCCCAGTGGAGAAAACGCATGCCCCTATGTCATACTTACACAAAAATCACTTTCAGGTAGATGCTAAATCTAAATGTGAAAGGGTAAATGGTAAAGTTTCTAGAAGATAAAAAGGGAATATATTCATGACTTTCATGTAGGTCTTTTAGTTTTTTGTTTTGTTTTGAGACAGGGTCACTCTCTGTTGCCCAGGTTTGAGTGCAGTGGCACAATCATGGCTCACTGTAGACTTGACCTCCCAGGGTCAAACGATCCTCGCACCTCAGTCTCCAGAGTAGTTGGGATTACAGGCACATGCCTCCCTGCTTGGATAATTTTAATTTTTTTTGTAGAGACAGAGTCTCATTATGTTGCCCGGGCTGGACTCAGACTCCTGGCCTCAAGCGATCCTCCAGCCTCAGTCTCCCAAAGGACTAGGATTACATACCTGTGCGTGAGCCACTGCACCCAGCCTGCCAAAATTTCTTAAGATCCCAAAAAGGCTGGGCACGGTGGCTCATGCCTGTAATCCCAGCACCTTGGGAGGCCGAGGTGGGTGGATCACTTGATCTCAGGAGTTCAAGAGAACTTGGGCAACATGGTGAAACCCTGTCTGTACCAAAAATACAAAAACTTAGCCAGGCATGGTGGCGTGTGCCTGTAGTCCCAGCTACTCAGGAGGGAGGATCACTTGAGCCCAGGGATGTGGAGGTTGTAGTGAACCGAGATCGCATCACTGAACTCCAGCCTGGGTGACAGAGTGAGACCCTGTCTGTCTCAAAATAAGACCCAAAAAAGATGAACCATAAAATAAAAGATTTGTAAATTGGACTTTACAATTTGCGTTAAATTATACTTTTATCAATTTATATGTGTAAATTTGGAATTTACATTAAAATCAGGAACACTGTACATCAGAAGACCCCATTATAAGAATGAAAAGACAAACCTCGATATGAGAAAAACAAATTGCAAACAGATTGGACAAAGCACTCCTGCCCTGAATAAAGAACTCGTCAAATCAATAAGGAAGACAGGCAACACAACAGAAAAATGAGCAAGACTTAAGCAGCCATCCCTCAAAAGAAGGTTTCCAAATGACCAATAAAGACCAGTGAAAAGTGCTCAACTTTGTTAGTCATAAGAAGGCAAAATAAAACCATGTGATACCACTACAAAACCAACAAAATGGCTGAAAGTTAAAAACTTAAAATCCCATGTGTGGGCAAGAATGTGTGGAGCAGAAGAACTTTCATACCGTTTACTATGTAAAGTGAGGAGATTCGCGTTAATCTGTAACTTTTGGTTGGACTATCCTGAATCTTAAAGACAGGAAGACCTGAAGCCTTTGCAGTTTGTATTTAACCAAACCCATGGCTGACAGCAGATGGCAGCGGAGCGCACAGTAAGCTTTTCAGGACCGGGCTGGGGCCCTTCTGACTGTAGCTCACAGGTAGGTGTGCTCACAGGATGGCGGAGGCAAGAGGAACGCCATTCTCCCTGTCCTCCACTTCACTCCTTGTCCGCCTCCTAACTTCTGTCGTCTCTCCCTTTACTGCACCAGAGTGCTGGGCAGCTCAGATGACTACAGTGCATTCTAAATCTAGTGCTGAGTTTTTAAAACCCAGGTTAGGGAATTGAATGCTAAAATTAGAGATGATATACTTTCATCCATCTCCTAGGGAATAGGGTCACAAAACAGGTCATGCTTCAGAAAAAAATTTAAGAACAAATGATCTAATGATTTGAGAATCTTCCTTCATTTTAATGAAATACATATTACATTAAAATCTCTTTAAAAATCAAACTCTTATCAAAAGTATATAACGCCCTTTTTCTATATAGAATGTCCCCAATGGGACACTAGGTGCTAAGGATTTGGAGGTAGATAAGACCTTGCCTTTACTTTTACAGAGCTTATAGTTAAACAGAAAAGACAGAACAACAAATTAATAAAAGCACAGTAAGTACTCTGTTCTTATCCTATTGCTGCTGT